TATTCTGTTTTGGATAACCTTAAAATCAAAGAAAAGTCTTCGAAATCGTTATCTGAAATCATCTCTTTCATTGGACTCTAATCTAACTTTGGCTACAATCTCTGTGGACGATAATCCGGTACTTGTACCACTTTATTACTTGGAAAGACGATGTTAGGTCGTATTGTATACTTGCTTTGTGGCCTAATTTCATTAGTCTAGAGGTGTGAAATATAACCGACCACTAACCTATATCATCGTTAAATATTATCTTATAAAACCAGTGGAACTTCAAAATCATTAAAATTCATGGTTCCCGTCACATTGCGCGGGTACACAACTAGTCATTCCTATCAAACATGTGGAGTGAGAAGGGATTTTGGGAACATGAGCATTTTGGAAAGGATTTCAAAGTTAAATATATTTTTCAAATAATGTTCACATGGAGCATATTCTTTTTATATGGCAATAAAATAAGCATAAATACTCAAATTTTCCTTTTTAAATCAAATACATTGGCATTACTCTTTTGATGATCATTTACATATTATATTTAACATATATTTTAAAATGGAAAACCAAAAGTCAAATTTTAAAAAAAGAAAATTAAGTTCTATCTTTAATGTATTCTATATTTTGGATAGAGATGACAAAAAAACCCGAAACCAATGATGAAAACTGAAAATCGAAATTTTCGAGCCGTGTTCAAAGACTTTTATCGGAACCGGGGAGGGGGGTCAGGGATATATTCGGGGATTTTATCGGGAGTGGGGACGGTGATTATCGGCCTGACCCGATATATATATATATATATATATATATATATATATATATATATATATATATATATGTGTGTGTGTGTGTGTGTAAATACATATACCTATGTATGTATATATTAATTAACACAAAGACACACACACATATATAATATTATTTAAAGAGAATTACTAATATTAAAATTTCTAAGCCTTTTATCCAATTTACTTCAACACATCAAATAAGCCTCACAATAAAGTCTAATTTATTTGTCTAATCGTGAAATCATGATGTTAATTAGATGATATTTGAACTTTTGTTTACTTTTATATTGTAATATAAGACATTATTGATAATTAGTTTGATTATTTTTTAGACCATTAGACATGCATGTTAAAAAAATTAATTTACTTTTGGTTATGAAATTAATATATTGTACTTTTTTCGGGCCGACAGCTTCAAGTATGACCAACAGTGAGTGGGAAAACCAACGGGGAACATGGATTTTTACCCTTAACGAGTTCCCCAACAGAGATCGGGAAAACCGCAAGGACCCGATGGGAACCGGGACGGTTTTGATTATCGATTTCGGAGACAGAGATACCAATAATCGGTTCGCATCCGGCCCGTTATCGTTCCTAGTTTTAAAGATTACAATATTATTTAAATCATTAAAATATTATTTTCTCTCTTAAAAAATTAATTTTACAGATTTTAATTGGTAGAAGGAATTAAAAAAAAGCATTTTCCTCTTTCCTAAATAATCATTTTTGAAGGGTATTTTTTTTTAAATTTAAAAAACTACACTTCTCTCTCATTTCCTTATTTCCGAGAATCTCTTTGAACAAAAATCTCCAATATCTTCGTTTCAATGAATGCGTTGGAGATACTCTAAATCATCTCATTAAAGTTAAACAATAATGATCAATTTTATATTATTAGTCAAAGACCTTCCAGCCTAGTGGTAAAAGCTTGGGTATGACATAGTCATGAACCCGAGTTCGAGCCTTGGGAGGGGAGTGTTGGCGACATTTAAGTGAGGCCATGTTTAGCCTCCAAATTTGCCGGGGATTAGTCGGGCTTTGGCCCGGACACCCTTACAAAAAAAAAATTATATTATTAATTTATTTTAGATTTTTAGTAGTATTACTAAAAATCTACAAGTCAGGACTCCTTACCGTACTGGATAAGATTTTCAGTATTTAAAAACATAGTTTAAGCGTCTCCCACCCGACAACAACTAATTGGTAAAAGTCATCACCCTCCCTTGTCGCAAAGATTGTCGATTATCAAAATGACACCGTAAAATTGTTGGTAACTCTAATTGATAAACGTCTCTTACCACTAAGACACAATAGGCGTTCAGTTAACTGGTAAAGAGACGGTAATGCTTAGTACACAGCTCCTCAAGCAACAAGTGCTTTTATTCGGTTTGGGTACATATTTTAGAGTGATATATCTATACTATATTATAAAACATTTGATAAAAACTCTTAAAAACCATTCTTTATGCATGAAATACTGTTTATTAATGCATATTATTTAAAATTTAAGATTACAAATAAATTGTGCGTAAATACAACTTATTAAAGCTCCATTTTTGAATTCGTATAACTAACTGTAGATAAACATAATCAAATTCCGGATAAATATCTCATTTTAAATATAATTAGGATAATCATTGAATTCTAACAGAATTTTTAATTATTGTCCTTATAAAAAATTATATTATTAAATCAAAAACAAATTACTTTGTTATTAAATCTAAACTAAATTATAGTAAAAAAAATTGAATTAAAGAAATTACACACAAAAAAAAATTCTAAATAGTTAATTTGATACTAATTTTGATATATTTATTTTCGAAATTTTATGATATCTTTAAATTTATATTTTATTTAAAAATAAAAACATTATCTCTTTCTCAAAATCATATAAAAACCATTCGGAGAAGAAATAAAACGAAATATTAAAATCGAGATATATTTCACTGCATTGTACGAGTACCCTTCTAATTAACTAAAATGACCAAAATACTAGGTAACGTAACACATGTAGCAAGATGTATTGAGAAGGAATACAGCCTGAACTTAGTTTATGCTTTGACGCAAAGTAAAATTGGAAACGATCAACCTGCCACAATGACAAACATAAATGGTAACACCAAAACAAACCATAAGGGACCGTTTGGCCAATGGAAATAGAATCACAAATTACTTGGCCTTGTTTGGTTTGTGGATTAAATAGATCGGATTCTCGTGGGTAAGAGATTCCAAGTACTATCTTAAGATCCGGTTAAAACCTAACCCAAAAAGTTTAATCAGACCCATTTTCACATACAAAGCCCGGTTCGGGCTTTTAATGACCAAGTTAAAAGAACGAACCATGTGCATCACTAAGTACAAGTGTACAACCACTTTTCTTACTAAAGAAGTTTGCATCATTATAATTGAAATTAAAGGAAGTAGATTAAAAGTGGCTACTATAATGGATAAATTTATTAAAGTGCGATGCGTTAATAAAAAATAATTTGAAAGTCCATTATTGTAATAAAGAAAAACAAAAATAGAATGTTATAATAATTTTTTTATGAAAGTAGGTTACTATTTCATGCATTTAACTCTTTTTATTAACATCGCTTGTCTCACGTATTTTAATATGTTTCAATCCCTTTTGTCCATTTGTGTTTTTCTTTTTCCGTATTTTCTAATTAAGAGTGTCAATTCTGAACTAGTGTCGAGAAAGAAAAAAAAAACTTCTAGTTTTTAATAAGTTTATTTGTCTTTGATTTATACCATGCACATTTACGGGTCCCTTGTGATTTTAGGGGATGAGAACGATTATACTAATTGCGTTCTTAATGCTTGGACGCTTGAACGGGGAGAACGACAACAATAACGACAAACAACGTAGATGTCTGACACTCATTGTACACGATCGAAGATGAAGCACTTGATTTAGCAGACGTAATAGGAGAGCAGAGATGAAGACGATAAAATCATAGAGATATTGTCGACCAGATCCCATTGTTGATGTACTCATCGCAACCAAAAACGCATTAACAACTACACTAATTTGTACAACATCCTTAAACTTGATGGTCACCGTAATCAGGGCTCGATTAAGAGGGTGAACAAAAGGAGGTCGGGAAAGAAAATGAGAAAAAAAATAAAAGAGCCGAAAGGATTTGAGGGATTTTTTGGTTTCCAGGGTCGCTCGGATTTGAAATCCTCGAACATCGGATTTTGAAATTCCATAGGATTATATATAATAATTTATAATTTGTTATTACAAATTATTTATAAGAGAATGAAATTCAATTAGATTCCAAATACTACGAACCAATCACAACAAAGATTCTAAATTATTTTTGTTCACAAATCCAAATTCCTCTGATTTCAAATCTTTCCACGAAATCCAAATCCCTAAAAATCATTTCATTAGACAAAACCTCACCTTTCGAAATATTATAATCATGAAAAATAAAGGTCTTAACATACATACAAAATTCTACTTTAGAATATAATTTTGGGGTGTTTGGGATTGTTTATAAAAACAAATTACTGACTTATTCCAATTTGATATAAATAATGAGCATTTTTTAGTGTTTGGGTAAACAACTTATACTATACTGTATTAAACCGATAATAAATAGTTTTTAAATAAGTTAAACACTTCTATCTTATAACAAGATAAATGATTGCGAAGAAAGAAAGAGGAAAATCCCATAAAGTCATTGGGATTGATGTATATGTGGATCAGAATGATGATGGATGTATGTTGTAGTTTTAATCAAGAGAATTACCTTGATCCTTAGCAAGATAACCAGTTCTTGTGAGTACTAATGATCGCCGATAACATTCCGGCCGACGCCAACAGTAGCGGCCCTGAAAGTCGCCCCTTGCCGTCGCGAATATCAGCCACTGCCATCAATCCGTCCGCCAAATCTTGCACCAGCGATAGCTTCTTCAACAACTTCTTTTCCTTCAATTTCTTCAACTTTTGCTCTTCGATTTCTGTAGGATCCCCTCTCGTAACCCCAATTTGGATACTCGATACCAAACACGTTTCATCCTTCTGGATCCCCTTTAGATCCCTAGCTTTCAAACAAATACTCCCAATATATCCGATAAATTCGGCCCACGCACTAATTTTTTGCAAATCCCGTGAGTGTTTGCCATCAATCAGCCCTGATTTCGCTAACCAAACAAATTGTTCGACAAAATAATACAAACCCTCGCCGCCGTACGCGATGATCGCTAGTATAATATCTTGCCTGGAGTCGAGTTTTGCCGAGCGGAAGGAGTTGACGTCTTGAACGAATTTGCCAAGGCGGAAGGCTTTACGGCTGAGTCCGACACTGGATTCGAAGCTCTTGAGGCGGCGATGGAAGGGGTGTGTTTGGGGTACGGCGTCGGAGGATAGGATGATTTTGGTGGCGTAACGAGAGATCTTCAGGAGCTTGTCGACGCCGTCGCGTTTGGCGAGGTATGCTTCGAGGTGGGTCAGGAAGTCTTTTGTGGGGATGGATTCATCGATCGTTTTCGTTTTCGTTTTCGTTAGTGGAGATGAGAGGTCTGATTGATGGTGTTCCATGGTGGTGGAGATGCGACGGCGATGTTGGGAAATGATTCGGTAATCGCAATCGTTGACGACGGTGTCTATAGTTATAAAATAGATTCAGAGATATCTCTTGATATGCGTGCCAAAGTATTTTTTTTTAATTTATATTAACAAAATAATACTCAATATTCATATGTGATATACAATTCAATTAATGTCTTTGTTTAAGATTGTTTATAAAAATGATTTATTGACTTATTTCGATATGTTGTCAGTAATAATTTATAAATGATACTACATTACTTAATCATCACATTTCATAATTTATTTCATTAACTTAATCATCACATTCCTTCTAAAATTCGAAATTTTCATCTTTGAATCTTCATTTTCTACGAATAATTCATACATAGATCACAAAATAGAATCTTGCAACAACAAAAAATATGTATGAACTTTTAACAAAAATCAGTGTTTCATTTATGAACCTTTTTTAAACTTTCTTAATGATCTCATACATTTTCTGGTTTCGCTTATAAACTTTGGTAAATAAAAATTAGAACAACTAAGTTCATACACGAAATAACATTATGAACTTTAAACAAAAATCATAGTTTTACATATGAACTTTGTTAAAATTACCTTAATTATCTTATTCATTTTTCTGATTTCACCTATAAACTTTGGCAAAAAGTTTAGAATAGCCAAAGTTCATACACGAAAAGAAAGAAATTTAATTCCACAAACAACTGAATTTAAGAAATAAATGGAATTAAAATCGAATCTAAGGGGGCGTTTGGTTCGTAGAATGAAATTCGATGGAATTGGAGTTCATCAAATGAATTTGACTTTGATGGAATTTGACCATGTCTTGTGATTGCGTTTGGTTGCATTGAATTGGAATGAAATTCTTAACGGAGTGGAATTTTTTTGTTTGGTTCACGGAATTCAACTTTGGAATCGGAATTAAATATCAACAAATGACCTTTTATGATTTTTGAATAACGGAATTCGACAAGTGATATTGATAGCTAGTTATCTTGAATCGGTTCTTTAATTACATATGTTATCTATCGATCTCGTATAGATGGATAAATTACGAGAGAGAGAGAGAGAGAGAGAGAGAGAGCATACCAGATGGAGATCGAACCAGAGATCAATTATATGAGATAGTAGACGCAACATTGAATGAATTTGGATTAGGGAAGAAATTTGCCGGAAAGGAATTGAAATCCGACGGTATTGTCGTGGAATGTAAAATCTGTTAGTGAAGGAATTTATTGGAATTGAAAGGATTCCATCAGTTTTATTTCATTAACCAAACATTGTATTTGGAATTTAGTCAAAGGATTTGGTCATTCCAATTTATTTTAATTACATCCAAATCCATGAACCAAACAACCCTAAGAGATAAAAGAAATGAATTTAATTCCAGTAAATAACCAAAATTTTCTTCTAAAAATAAAACACAACTTGTTTCAAAATTGCCCTTCATTTAATTTCTTTTCTTTTTATCAATTTATAACATCTAATTTAACCATAATCATCGATAAAAAAAACTAATGGCTCAGATGATTTTTGTAACATCACGCTTGAACAAACCCCAAATTACCAATTCTTATAAAATCTCCAATAAAATAAAATTTATTGATTATTGAGACCAAAAATTGATCCTAAATTATTATAAAAGTTTTGTCAAAGCCATCGGGGCCAAGGATGGAAAATCTGAAAATGCTGCTAAAAAAAACCTAAGTCTGGAGGAAGACCAGAGGCAATGGTTGGACCAGAGGCAATGGTCAAGAGGTTGCTGAAATGGCTAAGTCTGGAAGAAGACTAGAGGCCATGAAGGACCAGAGGTGAGACTATGAAGGACCAGAGGCCATGAAGGACCAACCCTTTGAAACCCACAGATCTGGGCATAACATTAATTAACCTCAAAATATGGGATATTAATTTCTAGAAAAAAATATCGAAATATCCGTTCTATTTTAGTGATAAAACCACCCAAAACACAATTCCAAATCGGATATAACGGATTTTTACTTACAACCCAAATTATGTAACCAAAAGAATACGGGACAAGACTATATATATAAACTACTATTTACCCAAAAGCAAGATCGATATCTTCAAGTCAAACAACGGGTTATTTCTATTTATCCGTCTTCCTTTCTGAGAAAGGTTGCCACTTAAATGGTAAGCCAACGCTTAGTGAGTTAAATAGTTAAGTATTACATATCAATATCACACATGTTTATAAACATATATAATAAACTCTTATCAATAAAAGATTTCAAGACATCATCCAGATATAAACCGAGACTTACAAGAAACCGAGTGAACCATTACGTACCGGATGCCAAGATCATAGGATTCCATATTCAAATCACCATATTATACCATACCATTGTTGCTCAATACAACAAGGAGACATGATCAACAACCAAATATATTCAACAACGTTAGAATACCAATAAATATCAAGAACCAAGAGATCGAATCGTTATACATAATGAAGATAGTGCATCACCCCGTCCTTCACCTCCCGGGCTCATGCCAAAGTCCGAGTCAGAATCATACATTACGGGAAACCTCGCATTGCCCGCCTTCCTCTACCGGGTATGTGCCAAGGTTCCCTACTCATTGCTCTTCCTCCTCTTCGAGCAATGAGTATTCACAACCGCAGAAAGTCTCACCCGTCTAACCCGGGATCTTGACTTCGCCATCAACTTCCGGTGTACCACACGAAGTAGTACCCGTACTATGGCATACAATTCAAGGAACAAAACAACGAGTCCGGATCCAGAAAGCAAACTGATATACCGAGATAGTAATATGGAATTAACTCAAGAGACGGAATCAAAGATAAATCAAGATCGTGTGACTCCATTCAAGACCAAAAACATTTATATGAAAATATATATGTTCAAATCAATATGTAACAAATAACTATATAACTCACCGGGCAACCGTATAATACCGAAAAGCTCCGAATTGAGCTCACAAAGCAAGTCCAATCTACCACACTTAGATTGCTTCCAAAGTATCAAAACATTTCTTAATTACCCCCTGAAGTAAATATACAAAATCTCATAAGCAACCAATATAAGAAACTCATGATATACACATATCCTATTTGAACATTTTACCTAAATTTCTATGTACAGTTGCTGCATGCAGAACTGTTTTGCTCATTTTAAGCTCAAAATCATGCCTTGATCATAAAATAAGAAATGAACTAGAGCCAAATATCTAACTAAGGAAATTAGCCTCACCTCATTTGGATTTTCTACGATTTTATACAGATTTTCAAAGTCTGCACACTTTCAATGCATTCAAAAGTCGAAAATTCTCATTTTCATACATTTTCCTCAAACCATTTCGTTTCCAAACCATTCCAACTTCTGAATCTCAACTTAATATAACATATTTGACATAAACAACCAAAATCCAACCTTTATTTTATCATTTATATTATCTCCCAAATCATTGACTTAATCAAGTCAAAGTTCATATGATGAACTTGCATAAATCTTRATAATCTCTTGAATTTAATGACCATTTCATGCCAGAAACACTAAAATGCACTCATTTTATACACTTAAGATCAAACCCATATGAAACCCTAACTCTATCTCAACATGCAATCCATAAAACAAGAATGTCAACCAAGAACAAGTGCAAAAATAGATTATACCTTACTTGATGATCAAATCTTTCCAAGATCTTGTAGTTCCTATTTGATTTGAGTTGAATCAAGTCTATGTGTGTGAAAATCGCACCTCTAGTGTGTGTATGAGTTCTGGACTTAGATGACATGAAAAATGGGCCAAAACTCCAATTTATAATGCTAAAACTCGAGTTGGGCCGGTTTGGCCCGGTTAGGTACCCATTTTGACCATCAATACTTAAATTATTCATAACTTTTCTCTCGGACCTCCGTTTTCTATGAGGTTTTCGCCTACACGTTCATAAAGAAATAATCTATAACATCCAACAAAAATATTCCAGAAAATATCTCCGAAGAAAATCAGTTTTACGTATCTATTTGACGTAAAAAATTTCCAAATCCTCTAATATATTCTTAAGAAATAAAATTTTAAAACTTCTGACCCAAACTCCCACTAAATTCTATTTAACCCAATAATTAAATATACTAAGCAAATAATTGGGCATATTAGAAATTGGATGTTACAATTTTGTAAAGTTTATACTAATTAATGGGTTAACAATGATTACGCCTATATAGAGTTGGTTCACATAAGACCACCCTTTTTCCGTAAGACTCATAAAACCACTTTTGAGTCGTTAGATCTCTTTGATTACAAAAATCTTCATCTTTTATCCCAAATAATGGTTTCACATGATCTTACCACCCCCACCATTCCAAATCATTAAGAACATACTCCTCCATGCACCCCCAACCCCCTTACCCACTCCTCCGACCACCAACCCTTACCCCTAACCACCTCACTACCACCCCTCCGACCACCAACCCCTACCCCCAACCACCTCACTACCACCACTCCCACCACCAACCCCAAGCATCGCCATCAAACACACCAACAATCACAACACCCTCACACCCCCTGTTGCCCCCACCCCT